TGATATGGTTTGGCTCTGTATCCCCACACAAATCTCACCGCAAATTGTAATCCTCATAATCCCTATGTGTTGGGGGTGGAACCTGGTGGGAGATGATTGGACCATGGGGGTGATTTCCCCCATGCAGTTCTCCTGATAGTGAGTGAATTCTCATGAGATCTGATGGTTTTATAAGTGTTTGACAGTTCCTCCTACACACCTTCTTTCTCATCTGCTGCCATGTAAGACATACCTGCTTCCCCTTTTGCCTTGATTTTAAGTTTCCTGAGGCCTCCCCAGCCAGGTAGAACTGTGGGTCACTTAAACTTCTTTTCTATGTAAATTACTCAGTCATGGGTAGTTATTTATACCAGTGATAAAATGGATGAACACAGTAAATTGGTACCACAGAGACTGGGATACTGCTATAAAGATACTTGAAAATGTGGAAGCCACTTTGGAACTGGGTAACAGGCAGGGGTTGTAACTGTTTGAAGGACTCAGAAAAAGAAAGCTGTGGGAAAGTTTGGAGCATATAGAAACTTGTTTAATGGTTTTGACCAAAATGCTAATAGTGATGTGAACAATGAAGTCCAGGCTAAGGTGGTCTCAGATGGAAATAAGGAACTTACTGGGAACTGGAGTAAAAGTCACTCTTGCTAAGCTTTAGCAAAAAGATTGGTGGAATGTTGCCCCTACCCTAGATATTTGTGAAACTTCACACTGTAGATAAGTGATTTAGGGTATTTGGCAGAAGAAAATTCTAAGCAGCAAGCTTTCATGAGGAAGCAGAGCATAAAAGTTTGGAATATTTGCAGCCTAACCATGACATACAACAGAAAAATGCATTTTCTGGGGAGAAAACCAAGAGGGCTGCAGGAATTTGTATAAGTAATGAGGAGCCAAATGTTAATAGTCAAGACAATGGTGCAGATGACTCAAGGCCATGTCAGATACCTTCATAGCAACCCGTCTCATCACAGGTCCTGAGGTCTAGAAAGAAAAAATAATTTTGTGGCCTGGGCTCTGGGCCCACTGCTTTGTGTAGCTTCAGGACATGGCACCATGTATCCCATCTGTTCCAGCTGTAGCCACGGCTAACAGAGGCCAAGGTACAGCTTGGACCATTGCTTCAGAGGGTGCAAGTCCCAAGCTTGGCAGCTTCTACATGGTGTGGAGCCTTCAGGTGCATGGGATTCAAGAATTGAGGCTTGGGAACCTCATCCTAGATTTCAACAGATGTATGGAAACACCTGGATGTTCAGGCAGAAGTCTGCTTCAGGGCTGGAGCCCTCAGAGAGAATCTGCTAGGGCAGTGTGGAAGGGAAATGTAGGATTGAAGCCCCAACACAGAGTCCCCTTTGGGGCACAGCATAGTGGAGCTGTGAAAGAGGACCTCCATCTTTAGATCCCAAAATGGTAGACCCACTGACAGCTTTTACCCTGTGCCTGGAAAAGCTATAGGCACTCAATATCAGCTTATTAAAGCAGCCATGGGGGCTTGTATCCTGCAAAGCCACAGAGGTAGACCTGCCCAAGACCATGGGAGCCCACCTCTTGCATGTGTGCCCTAAATGTAAGACATGGAGTCAAAGTCTCCTTTCAGAGTTTTAAGATTTAATGGCTGTCTTTTGAGGTTTTAGACTTCATGGACTTAAAGCTCCTTTGTTTTGGCCAGTTTCTCCCATTTGGAATGGGAGTATTTATCCAATGCCTGTACCCCCTCCCCTGCCACTTGTATCTTGGAAGTGACTAACTTGCTTTTGACTTTACAGATTCATAGGTGGAAGGGACTTATTGTGTCAAATGAGGTTGTAGCCTCTATTTTTTTGAGTTAATGCTGAAATGAGTTAAGACTTTGGGAGACTGTCTGGAAGCCATGATTGGTTTTGAGATGCAAAAAGAACATGAAATTTGGGAGGGACTAGGGGTGAAATAATATGGGTTGGCTCTGTATCCCCCAAAAATATCATTTTGAATTGTAATCTTCATAATCCCCATGTGTTAAGGGCAGAACCTGGTGGGAGGTGATTGCATGATGGGGGCAGTTTCCCCCCATGCTATTTTTCCAATAGTGAGTGAGTTCTCATGAGATCTGATGGTTTATAAGTGTGTGACAGTTCCTCCTACCCATGCTCTCTCTCACCTGCCACCATGTAAGACACTCTTGCTTCCCCTTCTGCTGTAATTGTCAATTTTCTTATGCCTCCTCAGCCATGTAGAACTGTTAGTGAATTAAACCCATTTTCTTTATAAGTTACCCCATCTTGAGCAGTTTTTTATAGCAGTGTGGAAATAGAATAATACAACATGCACTTAACATTTCAACAAGAAAGAGAAGAGTGGAATTTGGGCAAGATAAGATAGCCAAGATTCTTAGTTCCTCACCTATGTATTACAGTAGTAACTGTCTTGTCATTGTTCTGTTCTGTTACCCACAGAGATTTTCTGTTATTCTTTGCCTAACTAAAGAAGGTAAACTTAGAGAAATGTTATTTCACTGAACAAATGTATTCAAGTTCCTGAGACTTGCAAACTAAAAACAAAATAATTCCATGAGGAAGAATGTTTGAAATAGAAAAAAATAACAACACATGAATCTGGGCTGAAAATTGGTAGTCATGGCTTATTTTAAAGGCTGATAGTTAAGGAGAAGAGTACATAAAGAGAACAAAAAGATGATTATAGATTAACAGTGTTCTACTCCAGCTCATGATCTAGCATCACAATGAGTCTGTTCTTAGACAAAAATTGTTTTTTTATACCTACTATTATTTTGCTACTAAACAATAATTGTATTAGCATTCTCCAAAGAAACAGAACCAGTGGTGTGTGTGTGAATATATATATGTGCATGTGTGTGTATATATCTATATATACATATGTACAAATGTATACACATACATATGTGTATACACATATATACAAGTGTATACACATACATATGTGTAAATGTGTATATATACACATATATTCATGTATATATGTGTGTATATACATGTATATATGTGTGTGTATATTATATGTTTGTGTACATATCTATATACACATATATACAGGTGTACATATATATGTATGTGTATACACTTGTACATGTATATATAGATATATATATACACACACATACACATATATAAACATGTATATATATATACCGAAGGATGATTGTGTGTATATATGTGTATATACACATGTATGTATTTCCATATATACATGTGTACATATATGTATGTATATATATACATGTACTGTTTATGTGTATATATACATATATACATGTATATAATACACACACACACACACACACACACACACACACACACATATCCCAATAAGCCCAAAGGAACCTGCTGGTATGGAAACTTGTCTCTCCACATCTGTGGGTTTTGCATTCCTGGACTACTGTATTTTTTAATCTACAGTTGATTGAATCTGTGGATGTGGAAACCGCAGATATGGAGGGTGAAGAGACATGGAGAAATGGAGAGAAAAGATATAGGGGGAGAAAGACAGACAAACAAAAAGAGAGAGATTTATTATAAAGTACCAGTTTACATGATTATAGATGCTGAGAACTGAGAAGTCCAATCTTCCAGCTGCAAGTGGAGATCCAGAAAAGCAGGATCATAATTCAGTGTGAGTCTGAAGACTTGAGAATCAGGGAATTTAATGATGTAAATCCCAGTCCTGGGGCAGAATAGGAGAAGAGAGGTCCCAGGTCAAGCAGTTAGGCAGAAAAAATAGGTGAATTCATCCTTCGTTGTGTTTTTTTCCTATTCAGACCCTCAGTGGATCAATGATGTTAACCCATGTTGGAAAGGGCCCCCAACTCTAATGCTAATATTATGTATATTTATTCTCACAGACACATCCAGAAAAAGTGTATAATCTAGACATCCAGGGGTCCACCCAAATTGGCATATGGAATTATCCATCAAAATAGTATACATAAAACCATTTAAAAATTTAACAGATACAGCTAGGGTTTGAGAGCCTGCCATGTGCCAGTCACTACTCTAAGTGCTGGGGACACATTAGTGAACAAAATTGGCAAACATTGTATCCTACATTTGACCACTACCCAAAGAGTTTCATAGAGCAAGATTATAGATTCCAGAGCTTACATTTACAAAGAAGAGTCCACTTCTAGGAAGCATCAAAGCTGTTACATTTAACCATCGAAGCAAGCATCGATGTCTATTACATTCAATTCAATTTTTAAAAAGGCATGATGTGCTGGGTCTCAGTGTTCAGTGTGCATATAGATGTTCTAGGATATTTGAGATAATGCCATTTTTTATTTCAATCCGAAAAATCTTGGGAAGAGCCCAGGAATCTGCATTTCACAAAACATCTCTGATGACTTGGTGTTTCGGCATGACACTTTCAGAAAGTGGACTAGAGAGTAGCTGGAATGTTCACCCATCACTCCTTATCCAGAAATTTTTCATACCCCTATTTACAGAGTGACAGATATATACACCATATTAGAAATTGTTAGAAATAATTTTATTTGTTATAAATAACACCAAATTAGAAATTTTTCCCATCTCTACATAGTTTATTTGTTCAATATTGGTCAATATAGTTGCTCATCCTCTGACTATAATTTATTGGTCTAGGTAGAGGCATTTGAAACAAGTTAGATTTTTAATGGCGACAGTGTCTTCATGGAACTTGAGCTACTCCTTTTACCTTTTCTGCTATCTTGCTCTTTTTCCTGTCAGGAGCTCCGCAAGACATCCAGCATTATTATTAGGCTAAATGCAACATTTCTTCTAAACTATTTTAGCTAATTTTTTGTCTCATGATCCAAGAATTCTTTCTAACTAACAATCAAAAGCCACAGGCCTAGCCTAAAGCTACCAATAATAAGTAGCAAACATGGAAATGACTCTAAATCCTGCATTTTTTTCTGTCATAGCCTTTCCTTATATGTCCTAGCTTTGCCAAAAAAAATTACAGGCTCTATGGGTCTCTTTATCTGTTCTACACTAATCCATACCCTTTATTTAATGTGTTTCATCATTTACAAGGGACAAGCCAATTCTATTTCAGTTCTTGCAGGGATATCCATATACTTCCCAGTTAAAATTAGCATACATTTCTTTAGCAACATAGAAGATGTGAATGTTCTGCAGTTATGATGGGGATGGGGGAAAGGACTGTTTGGCACACCAGTTTGAACCTCTCCATTACAGCTGCTGGTTAACTTTTGGGGGAGGAGAGATCTGCTATTGCTCTTTAGGGATTACCTTTACATTGAAGGTAAGGGGTTATTTTGCTTGTTGCATGAGGTTATAATTCCTTTGTGTGTCTTTCTTTCTCTGTGGGAGAAAAGAGGCAGGATAAATATCAGTCTCACTAAAGAAAAGTAATCTGTATGGTGCCAAATGTCTGCTTTGAGTGCCTTCAAAGCTGACCTGCTAGCTTATCTAATTTATTGTCCTTGGTGAGAAAGTTTATAGCTAGAAACAAAACTAACCTATTCCTAAATTCTTCAAAAGCAGCTCCCTTGCAGTTGTTTGGCAGGGGATTTGTTGATGTGTTTTAAGTGTTAATATTTTTCAAGATAAAAATAGCAATAGAATACAAATATAAAATATGAAATGTCAATGGATAGTCAATTATCCAGGAAAATTTTCATCCTTTTCTAAGAATAAGAAAAAAAAATAAAAACATGAAATTATCACACATTGGAATGTTGTTCATTGAAAAACTAATCAGAAAAATACCATGGGATGATTTTAAAGTTGCAGGCAACTTATATTCACAGAAACAAATAATGGGCATTTTAATGTCTGACAGAGAGAATACTTGGTTAGCAATCCCAAAACCTGGCATTTATCCTGATTTTTCATATTCACAATTCATTTTATACTTATAAAAAAAGAAAAATATAATATCTACCAATTAAATTGTTTGACGATCAAAACTGATGATGTATGAAATGTGCATTGTAAATTATAAAAGACTGAACAAACATTAGATTATCTTTTTATTGTGGTATAATTTACATAGAGTAAAAACTATTGTTTTCAATATGTAATTCTTTGAGTGTTGATACAGTCAGACAGTAATGTTACTATCAGCCATTATGATCTCCCAAAATATTCTTTATGCCTATGAATAGTCAAGTTCTCTTTATGACCACAGTCTTTATCAAACATTGATTTTTTTTGATCCACAGTTTTTCCTTGAATTTGTTTTATTTCACTTAGCATAACACAGTTGAGCATTGTTCATCCTGTTGTGTGTATCAGTAGTCGGTTTTCTTGTATTGCTGGAGAGCATATCATTGTATGAATTTATGACAGTTTGTTTACACATTTACCAATTCAAGAATATCTGGATATTTTACATTTAGATGATTATGAGTAAATCTGTTATAAATATAAGCATACAAATTATTGAATGAACATATTTTAATTTCCCTTGAATAAATACCTAGAAGTGAGGTTGCTAGGTCATAGGGTAAGAGTATAGCTAAATTTCGTACAAACTCTCTTCAAAGCAGCTGTGTAATATTATACAAGTCCTGTATAAGGGTCTGGTTGCTCTGCATCTCACCAGCACATGGTATAAGCATATTTGTTTTATTTGTAGTGTTTGGTTTGGTTTATAGCCATTATGATAGCTGTGTAGGGGTGGCTCATAATCATTTTAAGTTAAATTTCCCTAATGAATAATGATATTAAGCATATTTTAATGGTTTTAACATACATATATTTTATTTGGTGAAGTAATCTATTTACATCCTTTGCCCATATATCATGAAACTTTCTTTATATTATTTCATTTTAATATTTATAATATTCTAATAAGTTAGGATTTATTTTACAAATGACAAAACTGAGACATATATACCACATTATCTCATAGGTGGAATCTAAAAATGTCTAACTAATAGATGTAGAGAGTAAGTTGATGGTGACCAGAGGCTGGGTAAAAGGGGATGAAGGGGATGGAGGGAATGGAGCATTGTTGTTCAAAGGTACAAAGTTTCAGAGAAGAAGAATGCATTTTGGGATCTATTGCACAGCAGGTTGACTACAGTTAATAAAAATATGTTGTGCATTTCAAAATAATTAAGAGAATAAATTCCAAATGTTTCACCATAAAAAATAGTAGGTAAGCAATTTGATGGATATGCTAATTACCTTGATCTAATCATTATACTTTTTATATATTATATTAGTACATTGTAATAATTGCATAATGTATGCAATTTCAAAGTAATTGCATACATGCATGCAATTACTTTGAAATTGCATGCATGTATGCAATTATAATTTGTCAATTATGATTTGTCAAAAATAGTATTTAAACAACAAGCAAATGTGTTTTTTAACAAGTTCTAGTGTGGCTTAAAAGCATATAAAGATTATGTTTCAGAACTGGAAACTCTTGATAATTTCTTGTTGCTATACTCATTCCACAGAAGCCAGTGCATTTTCTAAAGTCTGTCAAGTTCTGGTTGTCTTTAGGAAAATGATGTGCATTGAAGATTATCATTTTTCAGTTTTGAATTTGGTTTCAGCTGCCTTCTGTTTTCTAACATTTTTCAGAAATAACTGACGGTTATGCACTAGTTACATTGACTGAAAATGTGTAAAACAGTTTCACTGCTTTGAATCAGGAAACAAATCTGCTGAAGGAAGCTGCAGGTGATTCATGCCTAAACATCAGGTAGATATAATTTTGGATCACCTCCCTGTTTCGTTTATTCATGTCTCTACCCTGTTTGGTTAGTCTAGTGAATAAAAATTATTTATTTCTTTATTTTTACTCTGTAGGTACAAAAGAGGCTTTTACTAAAATACATATTTATGAATTAGTATAAATATTCAGTCTGTATGTAAGAGGCCTTAAACATCAATCTTCCTGTGTGGAAAATAAAAATTATAAAAGCTGCCACATAGAGTAATGTTAATTAAAGATGATGTATGTGACATGATTAATATAGAAGGTTATTTAATGATAATCACTTTAGATAGTTGATAATCACCTTATAATAATATTACTTACTGTATGCTGAGAATTTGATAAATGCATTACAAAATTCTGACAACTCCATGAAGCAAATTTTACATGTGAGGTAATTGACATATTATGCAATTAAACAAATAGACAAATTACCTAAATAGTAAATGAAGATGGGATTTAAATCAGGTATATTTGACACCAAACTCATACTCTTCACCTCTCTACTCAATTTATTATTTAAATGTTAACTGTTTGAAATATTAAAAATGTCTGATGATCTTCCAGTTATTTATTAACTACTTTAACAAGTATATAAGGCCTGAATGTTTTCTCAATATAAATTGGCTTTATTTTATAGGCATTACTCCTAAATAATCAAGATTAACAACCTAATGCTTACTATTTCACCAATAAAATGCCCTTTGTATGTGTCCATAGTGGAGCCTGTAATCTTTGGAATCATAAACAAAACAAACAAATAGTAGCTAGCTGTAAATAGTAAATAAAGAAAAATATAAAATGTCTGTTTTTGTATTTGATCAAGGAAACAAATATAGAACTATTATAAATATGATAGAGTGAGGACTTATGACAGAAACTAGACACAACTTAGCTGAGAGAGGAGTTTGGGAAGTTGGGGTCACAAGGGTAATTGCAGGATCGGGGAAAGTCTTGACCAGTGTTCCTAAGCAGTGGTGCAGGTGGAAAATACACAACCTGCAGGAAAGTCTGGTAAGCCAGGTAAGTCCAGCTGCTGTGTGTGACCACAAAGTAGAACTAATGGGGAAGTCTGTGGAAGGCTGTCGCCTCTACATCTGGAGGTAAGCTTGGCATTGTTGCTGGTTAACCAAGCTAGAAGTCAGGAATAAGAGCTGAACATGAAGTGGCATAAGCCAGCCTTAGCTGGCATTTACCAGAAACTACATAGTCTCACTGAACTTAACCTTCCCGGCGTAATGTCTGTCACTTCACTTCTACCCGTTACAACTCATGCAAATGCCTCTTTTGGCCATCTCTAACCCAGGAGGCATACTGAGGAAAGTAGATCCATCTTAGCCAAATTAACTTTTTTAAAGGCACTGATTGCCTCTCTTTATTTTGTTCTGGAATTATTTAAAATCCGTTGAGTTTCTGACCCCATAATGATATGAACATCCTGAGGCAATCTGTAAGGAAAGGGAAATTTATTTTGAGATATTTCTCTTCTCTTTAGATCACTGTTCTGGCACCTGTTTATGTTTCTGGTGTGGAGAGAGACCATTTACTGGCCTAATATTGTCAGAACTGATTTCCAGAATGCACTGCTGCATATTGACTGAAGAGCTTGTTTAATATTAAAGGAAAGACAACTGAATATGGAAAGGAAGGGATAATTTCCAGTAATTAATAATAACATGGAGGGTAAAGATTATTAGTAAAGGAAGATTGAGAGTGAAGCTCATTTCAGAAACTAAGTACAAAGCAGCATATGTTCTTCCAACAAGATCAGCTAATAAAAAATTGATACATGAGGAGAATATGGGGCTAAGTTGGGTAGAGAGAAGAGTAACTAGATACACACAGGTATTAGAAAAGGGTGGAAAAGGTGTGAGCATCTGAAACAGATACAGTTCTCTCTGAAAATTTTATGACATGGTAAATTAGAACAAAAAGTGTGAATAAGTTAGAGTAAACACATACTAGCCCATGGACCATTGAGGGGGTACAGGGAAGAATTCAAGTGTGTGTCTGTTGTGCTGAGGCAAATACAGAAATGTCAGGCACTCAACAGATAGAATCAGAAGGAGTTAGGAAGGCACATTGTTTTGTGATGGGGCTATTCTGAGCATGCAACTTTCTTGTGCTTTTATAGTTGACTATAATAGCTGTGTTTATTAAATCCCTATTGTGTGTGTTGTTTCTTGTTCTCACATTAATCTTAATCTTCCTCCCTAAAATGGAGAATAAAGTATTCCCCAATTTACAGATGGGGAAACTGAGACTTAAGAATCTTGCAAAACGTCGCATAGGTAGGAAGTAGAGCTTAGCATACCAAGTTGCTGTCACCTGCAAAACCCATGCACATTCCACTATATTGCACTCCTGCTTTTAAAGTCAGCAATGTGATTCAAATTCTAGGTGGCTTCCCGCTTTCTCAGAATTTATTAACTTGAAATGATAGGCACATAAAAATTTTATATAGAAATTTGTTAATCATACTTTTACTGAAAAATTACATTTTAAAATTCCTATCATCAACAAAAAGGAGAAAAGCTAAAATCAACTATGAATATACGTAAGATATATATTTATAAATCATGTTTTGCTAGTATATGAGCTTTGTAAAAATGTACCCAATGTAATGTTAAATGATAAAAACTTTTTATTTTAAAGCACTACATAGAGTATGATATTAATTTTTCTTCTTAAAAAAAGTGCCATTGGATATAAACCTCTGAAAGATAAGCAGCAACATTTTAATGACACGTATTTCTGGGTGATAGGGTTTTAGATTATTTGAATACTTTTTATAACTTACCATACATTTTAAAGGTTATAAATAATCAAAGATAAGTTAGATTTTGTTAAAAAAATTATGCTTTAAATGCAATTTTATTATTAATGAAAACAAACATAAAGATTATAGCTATAAATCATAGGAATTGAGATTCCTATATGTTACGGCTGAATTGTATCCCTCCAAAATTCATATGTTGAAGCCATAATTTTTGTGCTCAGAATGTGACTGCATTTGGAGAAAGGGCTTTTAAAGAGGTGATTAGGTTAAAATGACATCAGCAAAGTCATCTTTATTAGAAGAGGAAATTTGGACACACAAGGCCATACCAGGAATATAGTGCACAGAGGAAAGACCACATGAGGACACAACAGGAAAATGGCAATCTGCGAGCAAAAGAGAGACACCTGAAAGAAGATTCCCCCTGTCCACAACTTGGTCTTGGACTTCTATCTTCTAGAAAATAAATTTTTGTTATTTAAGTCATCCAGTCTTTGACATTTTTGATATTTCGTTATGGTAGCTCTAGCAAACAAATATACCATTCCAAATTTAATTAACTATTTTTCTAGCCTTAGTAACTTGCTGACTTTCAAACTGCATTTTCATAGATTAGAAAAGTGAAACACTTCCTATTCTTTTAGTATCATAGAAATTTAGCACTAATTTTCAGCTTTGGTGCTGACAGATAATTTATTTATGTGACCCAAATGAGATATATCAACAATATTTAATACAATGCAAACCTCTGCACTAGAGTAATGTAAGACCTTATTGTAGGATAATAAAATAGATAATTAAATCAATATGATTCAATCCTTGAAGCCTAATGATTTTACTTACAATAACTTTTTTGTTCTATGTTAATACATTTTTAATTAATCTTTTCTCTCTTTTCTTTTTTCTTTTCCTTTTCTTCTTTTTCTCTTTCCTCCTTTACTTCTCTTTCATTTTTTCATTTATTTAAATAAGTACATAATTCAGTGTGATGTTTTCTAATACCTAAAACATCTGTGTTGTTATACATAATGATAAAATGAGAAATTAGTCTTTTGAAGCATTTTTATTTCTCAAACTGTTTTTTCCTACCCCTAAGAAAGTAGCAGGAATGATTCCTTTTTTTTTTTTTTTTTGGTATCTTCTTCTCCTTCTCTTACATACCAACAAATAAAGTCTTTTTATTTGTGGATATGTTGACATGATACTTTGGTAATGATCAGTTCACAGTTATAATTTGGGGGATGTTTATTTTTAAGTCATTCATTTATAATATTGATTATTATTTTAATACAGAAACATGTCAAAAAATGAATATTCCCAAATTCGTGTCCAAATTTGATCAATATTTTATAGAAAAAATAAAACAAGACAAAAATGAAATGATATAGACTCCAAATAAATTTCTATAATAGAAAAAAATGTGTAGCAGCTAGATAGATAATAAACTTCTTAGAACATTAGAATATGATTTTAATTCTCAAATATAAATGTACTATATTTGAGATTATGGTATTTTATTTTGGCTTATGTTTTTATATATGGATATATACATTAAAAACATTATTATTTTGTGTCTAAGGAAGCACTTGTAGAAAATACTGTGCAAATAAATTATTTGTTTTACAAAGATTAAATATTTATGCCCTTGTGAGAAAAAAAATTTAAGTAAGTTGAATGAGAATACAAATAAAAAACTAAAAATATTTCTTAAATAATTATGAATAGCTTTAGTATGTAATTTAATATTTATGACAGAAAAATTTATTTATATAGTTTTTGAGCAACTTAGGATTATGCATCAACAGTTTGAAATGTTAGAATCTTGCATTTCTTGAAATATCACTTTTGAGAATATTTCTAATAGAGAAGTTTTGATTTGGGGGATACTTTTGAAGCAGGAAAACATTCGTAAAATAAGAAGCTGGTTAAAATAATGGTAATGCTGTTCAGCCAAAAAGTTACTCAACAGTTAAAAATATTTAGACAAGCATATTAAGGGATTGGGAAATGCTCAAGATAAAAACTTGAAAAGAGTAGGTTAAAAGTGACTAATATATGTGTTGCTTCAATTATGCCTCTTGGATAAGTAATGGATCTCTAACTTCATCACTGCTTTAAGTGTTTGCAATCACATATATATTTTACTCATTTAGTCATGTGCATAAATATTTCTCTGGTGGCCCTGCACCAGATAAATTACTTTACT